CATTTTCGAATTTGAGAAGAGGTAAACCTCTCACCATTTCACCAGATACGAGATCATTCATGTACTGAGAGAAGGCAGAGTTGTTGTTTGCCAACAATCATGTTGATGTCGAGTGGGTACATGTTCTTGTTGCGGTTAGACTTGATTAAACATTCTTTTCGGTCTTCAGTCATTACATAACTGTGCTTCTTGCAAAATTCCACACGTCGATTTGAATCAGTGAGCTAAATAACACTTATGAAATTATGTTTCAGATCAACTACATATGCCACATTTGAGATAGAGAAATTTCCATTGGTGAGAATTCCATAGCCACGAATTTGAGAGTTGGAGTTGTTTCCATATGTCACGTAACCAGCATTCGGAGTAATCTTGAGATCCCGCAGAAAGTCTTTCTGCCCCGTCATGTGCATGGAGCAAGCACTATCAATATACCATATTGTTTCTTGCTCCGAAGCACATAGTGCCTGCTGAACGATGCTTCGACCGGGTGGATCATTGGTGGCCATATAGAAGTAGTGTGGTTCAGCAACATCATCTTCATCTTCAGGACCGGAGGACCAATAGCCTTCTTCACATTCAATGGATTGCCTTACCGTCAAGCACATGTTTCTTCCAGTTACCACGTCATCATCATCTCCGGATGACCAATATCCTTCAACATCTCTTGATATAGTCGTTACGAAAGCTTTCTTACTTTCAGCCATTTCTTGAGCTTTTCGGGCATAGTATGCAGAGTCCTTGATCTTTGGTTTTTGTGGGGCTTCAACCAAGCAATCTTTTGCAAATTGATTTGCATGTCCACACTTGTGACACACAATTTTTGGTTTGTCAGATTTAGGATTCTGAAAAGGTTATGGAGTAAATTTTGGCTTAGTGATGTTTGGTTTGTATGCAGGAGGATTTTCCGGAGTTGGTTGTGATTCCGGAGCTGAGAATGTTTAAGGAATGTTTTGGTGAGGAGCATGGAATCGGTTTTGGTATGGTTTGTAAGAGGGATTGAAAGGACGTTTGTATTTCATGGAGAATAGAGAAAACTCCTGTTGGAAACGGAGTTCAGAGTCCACGGCTTCGGAATCATCAAAAGGATAGTTTTGTGTGTGTAAGATGGGTGCAGAAGATTGAGAAGAAGGAAAAATGGATTTAAAAGGGTCCGAAGTAGACAAGTTCGGAATGGTTGGTTCGAAAGAGCTGACCAGAGCAAGAGGGCCTCCAGAGAGTTCCCTTATGGTTTGAGCAACATTAGACTCGTGTCCTTGAAGTTCATCAAAAAGTTGATAGAGCTTTAACTTTTTCAAAGAACCATTACTTTGAAGACAAGATTTCACATTTCCCCATCCTTTACCGAGACTGTTTATGAACTTGAGATTGTACTCCAAAGGAGTTCGGACAATCCCATAAGCAGTCATGTTGTTGACCACTATTCGGTAACGGTTGGAGGTTGAGGCCACTGATTCACCAGGAGTGGTAGTGAAGGTATCGAATTCATTGACAACTGAGGTGAGACGCTTGTCTTTCATATTTTCCGAACCTTCAATCAGGTCCTGAAGAGTGTCCCATATCTCTTTTGCTGATTTCAACAATTTAATGTGATCAAAGAGTGAAGGAGGAACACCAAACACCATTTCTGAGAAAGCAACTTGATCAGCATGCAACTTCTCAAAATCATCTGCAGTTAGAGGAGCTGGACGAGTTTCATCTTGACCCATAAGCTGAGCAGCAGCATCTCTCACAACTGTTCTTACAGGAACATGAGGACCTTCTTTGATGGATCTCCAAATGTCTTCACCTTTCTCTTTAGCTAGTAAAAATCTTTCCATTCTAACTTTCCAGTGATCATATTCTTCCACAACTAGCAATGGGGCACGTGTAGGGCCACCCACGCTATTTGAGATTTGCATTGAAATCATTTGTTGAGGATTAGAAGCAGCCATTGAAGTTAAGATATCTTCAAGCAAAAGTGGTATATAGAAGAACTTTTATCCTTAACACAGAAATGGTTGAAGTACCAAGATAACTTCAAACCAACTATAATCTGATCTTATGGATTGAAAGGACAACCACTCAAGCTCTGATACCAATTGTGAGAACAAGATTGATCTGATGCGCAGGGACAAGGTTTGAAAACTCAAACCTTGAGTTAATGCTTAAGATTAATGTATGCTTGCTAATAAATGTTCTAGTCAAGCCTGGATAGACCAGTCAAGTCTGAGTTAATGCATTCAACAAATAATCAAGCAATAAGTGAATAATGAGAATAAAGATCAAAGTAAAGTTAATAAATGAAGAACAAGAAGAATGTTTTGAAAGGGAATGAAATAACTTAGTAAAATTCCAAACTGAGTGAAAGATCTATGTTTGACTTTGCATTGAAATATCCTTTAAATAGGAGTGTAGGATACAATGAATAAACTGAGATACCAACATAGAGCCGTACAATAGAGAAGTCCCTGACATTCTGATTGTCTAACTTTACAAAATATTAAGTCCTATGAAGTGTCTAATCAATACAAAGACAAATTACATTAATTGCATAAGGACAAAATATGCATTCCGGATCAGCACACATTCCGGACATGATGACCATTCCGGAATGTCTTCACTCTTGAACTTCTTATCTTCTTCTCTCCAAGTCCAGACAGATTCCGGACTACTCTTCACTTCGGAACTCCTGCTGACTTCGGAATTAGCGTTTGGACTTATGATTGCTAGAGGTTCACTTTCAGGTTCCAACACATCTGGTCTGCTGACTTAGCCAGGAATCGCCCCAATGCTGCTATCTTGCCATTAAGGCTTTGTACCTCCTTCAGTGTTCGTGGTGTTTCCGCTTTCAACAAACGTTCGACCTTTTTAGGGTTTGCCTTTATCTATGTTTCTGTTACGATATGGCCCAAGAACTTCCGTCTTTGCACTCCAAAGATGCATTTCTTTGGGCTGATATTCATTTTGGTCTGACGTAGCCTCTTGAGAGTCTCTTCTACGTCCGCCAGGAAATCCTCATCGTCCTTACTCTTGATCACAATATCATCTACATATACCTCAATGTTTCTTCCCATCTGTTGCGCGAATACTTTGTCTACCAACCTTTGGTAGGTCGCTACTGCATTCTGCAATCCGAAAGACATATTTGTGTAGCAAAAAGTCCCTTTCTCAGTATGGAAAGCAGTTTTGTCTTCATCAGTCGCGGCCATCTTCACTTGATGATACCCTTTTTAGGCATCCAAGCAAGATTTCCATCGGTATCTTCCTAACGGCTCGATCTTCTACTCTATTTCTTGAAGGGGACAGGTGTCTTTCGGGCAAGCTTTATTGAAGTTGATGAATTCAACGCACATTCTCATCGTTCCATTTGCTTTTTTTACTAGCACCGGATTGGAAATGCATTTTGGGAGTTGCATGGCCCTCATGACTCCGAATTTTACTAAAGCTTCGACTTCCTTGTTGACGATTTCATTCCTTTCTTTAGCCATAATACGCTTCTTTTGCTTTACTGGTACGCATGAGGAATTGATGTTCAAGTGATGTTCTATTATTGACCTTGGGATGCCTATCATATCTGCAAGTGCCCATGATAACGTATCCTGATATTTTCTCAATATCGTCATGAAACCCTCTCGCAACACTCTAGGGAGCTTGAACCCTATTTTAATCGTCTGGTCCTTGTGGTTTTTGTTAACAACTACCTCTTATGTATCTACCAAATAAATTCCTTCTTCTTCCATGGGCTCAGCTTGCTCTGGCTGTACAATATGGCTACGTTCAGGAGGTCCTGTGGTGGTGTTTTGAACTATCGCCACTCCTTCCTCGGTAGGTAATTTGAGTAAACCATGCACTGTGGATGAGACGGCTTGGAGCTTCCACATTCCAGTTCTTCCTAAAAGTATGTTATAGGGAGATGGTGCTTGTACTACTATAAATTCCGTTAATATGGTTTTCCGGATGTTACCTCGATAGTCTTCCAATGTGAAGGGTAGCAGAATCTTCCCTTTTGGCCACACAGACTGGACTGTGAATCCCACCACTGCAGCCGTGGCAGACTTGAGATATCTTTGGATGTCCAATGGCAGTTCTCTCAAGTAATGTTCGTACATTATGTTGACCGAACTTCCGTTATCCACGTAAACTCTTCTGACCATTGTTCTTCCTATTTCCACCTTTATTATCAAAGGTTATGTCCCTTTATGATCAAAAGGTATTGGATCATGGAGACTAAACTCAATGTTAGTCATTTTTCGCTTCCATGTTAACCTGTCACTGGGATCTTCTTCGTCTTGTACCATGGAAATTCCAGCATCATACTTTGGCGTATCGTATTGCTTTGCCGTTCGCTCGTCGACTCTTAATGACCACTTTTTCTCTTTTTCTCTTTTTAAACTTTCACAATCCTCCGTCGCATGAACCAACTTTTTGTGAAAGTCACAGTACTTGTTCGGGTCTTGAGGGTATTTTCTGTTTTTATCTATGTTGTACCTGTTCGGGCTTCGTGGAGTATAAGCTTCATATGCTTCCTGTTGATATGGTTGGTAACGACCATTTTGTTGTCCCCTCTTGCTTCGGTGTGGTCTTCTACCGTAGTTATGGCGAAGCTGTATAGTGGGTTGAGACGGGTATGTTTTAATTCGTTCTTCCCTTTTTCCTCTTCCCGCCATGGCCTTTCCTTCCATCCTTGTTTTTTCAGCGCTCTCAGCTTCTTGCCACAGGAGCCGATTAACTTTTTGTATCATTTCCTCTGCGTTAACCCATTCTCGCCCTACCAGCTTTCAAAATAGCTCCTTTTCCAGGAGCCCATAAGTGGCCGCCGCTATGATCATAGGGTCATCCCGGGTTGGCATCTTCCTACTAATCTCATTAAACCTCTTAAAGTATGATTTATTCGATTCTCCTTCACGTTGTTGACAAGCGAATATCGTGTGTGCTTGTTGTTGCAACCTTCGTTGTTGTATGAAACTGTTGCAGAATTTTTAACATAGCTCTTCGAAGCTCGCTATGCTTTGAGCCGGTTAGCTAGCAAGCCAATATCGGGCAGATCCGTATAAAGTTCCCGCCAAATTAAGGCTCGATAACTTTAGATCCATTGGTAGCATTTTTATTACCAACTGGAAGTTGGATACATGATCATCTGGATCTCCGGTACCATCGTAAGGTGGCACCCTCGGCCCTTTCAACCCTTTGGGAATAGATATTTCGTTAATGTCGTCCGTAAAAGGAGAGCGGAAAGTTTGGTTCTTGAAAGCTTGGTTGTATTGCTTTGCTTCAGCTACTTTAGGGTACTTTTCTTGTCTTTTATGAGTGTCTTTTGCATTGGATGGTCTACCTGCATCTCTCTCCTTCATGCTTGATCTTTTTTCGTGAAGGGTTGACTCCTTTCCTTGTTCGTCAGAGTATTCCGTTTGGTCTGTGTGGACCGAAACTCGATCCCATTCTTTCTCTTTCTGGGGTTGTCTTTGGCTTTGCAATTTCCTCATAGCCCTAAAGCTTTTGAATGCTTCAAATTCTTTTAACTCCATTTCTTCTATCGTTTTGCCTTGCAGATCTGTTCCGTCGTCGCTGATAATCTTTCTGATGACTACATTCTGGTGTCTCACCACAGTAGCAACTTGCGGGGTTGCTTCTGGGCCTTTAAGTTTTGGAATTCTCGCGACCGGACTTGCTCCAACTACTGGAGTGCTGGCGCCGGCTATTTGTTGCGAGGTCCCACGGATGCCGCCACTTGATGTACCGTCAGGTCCGCCTTCCATCATTCACCCTTGGATTAGTTTTAACCGAGCGAATAGATTGACTTGAAGAATACAAAGAAACTGAGTTGGTCGGCCGGGAAGAGATCCGAGACAACGCTCCAACGGTTAAGTTAGTGAAAGGCTATATTATCGATCAATTATAGGAGAGCTAAACAAGTGGAGTAAGTATGAATTTTGTGTACATACCTCCTTGACGAGTCGGATTACCTATTTATAGCGAAGGAGGAAGAGGTAACGAGTTCTTCCCGTCTCGACCCTGCAATTTCAACTTATCGCATTTATGGAATTATGCTCGAAGGCACGACTAGTTGTACTTTGTATGCCGTTACACAGCTGTCATATGACTGTGCCATGATCCATCAGCCGCACATCCAGGTACACACTGTATTGTCGTGGTTTCGATGTACTATTGCTACTGTTTTTAGGGATGTTTAGTATTTGGATAAAACCGAATTGTCCAATTGGACAATTTGGATTGGACTATTTGGTTCGGATATTCAGATTTTTGGATTGGTTTTCGACAAAACCGAATTATTATTTTGGATTTCGGATTGGTTATGGTTTATAAAATAAGAACCGAATAGTCCAAAAAAACCAAATAACACTTTATTATTTATTTATTTTAAATATAGATCTATAACTATTTATTAATTTTGTAATTTATTTTTTGAAATAGGTTAAAAAAGTTTTACCTAATAAAAAAATATTAATATGCATTTTCTCTCAAAAAGTTTTTTATCTATAAAATATTAAAATATAATCTACATTCTTAATAGTTGTTTATAAATTTCAAATCGTAACTAAATAATTTGTTTTTGCTTCTTGTGTAAAATTCGGTAATATTATAATTATATATCGTTTTAAAATGTTTTAGTTTTTAAAAACCGAATTATAAAAACCGATCCAACCGAATTTTAATTGGATCGGATCGGATCGGATTTGAATTTAGTTTGGACTATTCGGATCCATGTTTTGAAAACCGATCGATCCAAACGAACACCCCTAATTGTTTTGACGTCACTTTGTACTTTCTCGTTAGCCTCTCTTTTGCTTTCGAGTCTTCATGCCAGTTCGGTATATAAGTAGGCAACTTCGAGACATATGGGGCGGTTGACTTCGAGCGACCTTGCAACATGCTGGTTTGGTATATTTGGGAAGGATATAAGTATTTTCGGACTATATCCTATTAGACATAGTTTTAATATATATATATATATATATATATATATATATATATATATATATATAATATATATATATAGATATTTCGAATCTACTGATAATTTTATTATTTTATATTAGAAATATATTTTTCAATATAAGATGTATATAAAATAATATTTATTGACAATAAAATAAAGTATTTAGTAATAAGTAATGCTAAAATAACAAATTATAAACATAAAATATATTTTTACCAAATTAAGATGTAGATTATAATATATTTTTATAAGAAAAAATATTATTTGAAAATGAATAAACAAGATAAAAAAATATATTTTTATTTTATTGTTTAATAAAATCAAACAAAAAGAAATAATTCTCAAAAGTATTTTTTTAAGGATTCTTAGTTTTACCAAATAATAAAAATGATTTTCTTTGCTCGACGTAATTCTCTTTCTTGTAGTTTCATTCTCAATTGCAATTCTATTTTTGTGTATGAAACATGCCTTAATTTTCTAAAACAATGTTATATGATTGTTGTAATATTCCTTTTAATAGAAAGAAAATATAATTGCATTCTTCCTAAGGGTGTTTGGGATTTACTTTCAAAATGACTTATTTGTTTATTTGTTTTCAAACAAATAAATAAAAACCATGTTTGAGAACTCAATATGCACTTATGAAAATTGTTTTTTCACAACTTTTAAATAAATCATTTTTAAAAAGTTCAATTTTCTATCTTATTGAGTTATAACTTCCAACTTACATAAACCGAAAGAAACCTCATAAAAACAAATAAACAATTGAAACACTTTGTAATTTATAAATGTTTGTAACCATATAAGCAAATAAACATTTATATAAAAAAGTGTTTCTTTAACTAAATAAGGATATTTCAAACACCCTCCTAATTTGAAAACCGGACCGGACCAACAGTTCAACAGAAATCCTGTTAAATTAGCGGGTTTTTGTTGCCTATAAACCAATTGTTTATGAACCGGTAAAAGTCAGATGGTTCACAAAAAATTAGGGTTGAACTGTTCCGGTTTAACCACTTTAAACCAACTAAAACCAAACTAAATAAAATAATAATAATAATAAAACATGGGTTTTTAACAAATGTCGAAACCCCGGATCGCCTAACCCATGTTTTGTGAAAGCCAAACCACAAACGCTATAGATATTTAAGCTATAAAAAAGTAAAATTAAATAAAATAAAATTGGCAGTAAATGTTTTTTTTTTCATAAACAAGGATAAATATAACATACTAGGCGCAAAGACAAAGTCATCCATCTTCTACTCTTCTTGGCTTTTGCCTTTTATTTCCTCTAACCTTGACAATCTCACGTTGTTGGATTAATCGGTTAGTTAATAAGAAAATATTATTATATTAAGATAACTTTGATTCTAGAATGTTGTTTTTCCTAGTTTTGGTATTAGAGTAGGATTCTAGTTTTATTAGTATAAATAAGGTTAATGTTTAGGATGTTTAAGTTAATTTTTTCCAACAATAAAGTTCACAAGTAATTCCTCGTTCTTGTTATTTTCTTTTTCTTTATTCAGTTCATACATTAAGCACCAATGTAATATAAGGTGATATACCTACACTTGGTATCAGAGCCTTTGGTTTGTGAATACATAAAATGTCGGTTTCAAGAAAAGTGTAGCGTTTCGCTGCGGGGTAGATGTAGCGGAAATTGGGTTACCTTGAAGGGGGTGTGATTCAGTTTTTAATCGCAAGCAGCCACGATTTCTCTTGATCGGACTTGTTGTAAGGTAACGAGAGACTAACCAGAGGCGCGAAATAAACGAACGGGTAGACGTCAAAGCGGATGGCTTTGATTTGGTTCGTTTTGCGGGTGACGGAAGACGGTAAAGGTGGTTATGACACTGTCTTGTTGTTTGGTGGAATAGTGCTCTTGGAACAAGCTTGATTAAAAGAGGTCGGAGTTGTCAAAAGAGAGAATAAGACTTTGATTTGCGAGGAAGAAAGTTCAAAAAGCTGAAAAATCAAAGTGTGGTGTTTACATTAATCGGACAAGAGTGATTAGCGAGGAAAAAAAGATCGATTTGTTCGTAATAAGGGGAGACCGACATAGGTACATGAAAAACGAGCAGAAAGGATCCATCAAAGCATGTAGCTTTGGATTCAGTTCGTTTGGTAGGTTGAAAGATAACGGTGAAGCGGGTGGCTTTGTTTTCTTAGTCGGTGGAAATGCCTCTTTGAACATCGGTGATCGAAACAAAGGAAGTGATTGGATAAACTACACGGTGTGAACATTATGGCGTTGGAGTTCAAATCAGATGGCTTTAGATCTGCTGGGGAGAGGTCGGGAATCCGGGAAAAGTCTAGATGTTAATGAACATGTCCAATGGGATGTCATGGTATATGTCACATGTGTCGTCAACAATTAAAACGGGTTGTTAGAAGACTTTGGATGTGACCGAGATGAAGGTTGGGTGTCCGGGAAAAGTCGGGATGGTTCCAGAAGGTAGTGATTCAACACTACTATGAATGAGTGCTATGACTGAACTGATTAAGGGAGTGATTGTTGGATTAATCGGTTAGTTAATAAGGAAAGTATTGTTATATTAGGATAACTTTGATTCTAAAAGGTTGTTTTTCCTAGTTTTGGTATTAGAGTTTTGATTCTAGAAGGTTGTTTTTCCTAGTTTTTGGTATTAGAGTAGGATTCTAGTTTTATTAGTATAAATACGGTTAATGTTTATGATGTTTAAGTTAATTATTTTTTTCCAACAAAGTTCACCAAATATTTGACGACCCAATTTTCACGTCCAAAAATTTCATTTAAAATAAGTGATTTGTAAAACATTTGTAGTAAAACATCATCCGATCATATCATTTCATAAATTATATCTCGTGTCTGAAAAACCAAATCATAAAAATAATAATAATGTCAGAGTACAATCCCAGAACATCTCATAATGCGGAAAAACCAATGCGTGTGTGTATGATGTGCCGCTACCGCCGGCAGCTCCCTTCCCCTTCGCGAAGAGGTACCTGAAACAAAATTAAACTGGAAGTACGAAGCTTAGTGAGTTCCCCCCCCCCCATCGTCCACATACAATACAATCATATAGCATTCATACTGCCAGTCATTTCTGGGGTGCCCGACCTACCCGGTACGGCCATTTTGGGGTGCCGACGTACCCGTGCGGCTATTCTGGGGTGCCGTCCTACCCGTTGTCAAGCCATTTTGGGGTGCTGACCTACCATGTCGAGCCATTCTGGGGGTGCCTGACTACCCTTCGGTCCTACAACCGAACCTCGGGGACTATTTCACCTCTTACTACTACTGTCACATATATCATAGCAATATCTACTGTCAGACATATCTGGGGTGCCGACCTACCCTTCGGTCCTAACAACCGAATCTCGGGGACCATTCCCCCCCTCTACTACCTCTATCTCGTATAACATATCATGCTAGCAGCTAAACATATCATAACATACTGTTAGGCATATATGGGGTGCCTAACCTACCTTCGGTCCCTAACAACCGAATCTCTATCACTATACATATCATATCACGCTAGCATATAACATATCCAGGTAGTAGCAACACAAATGAATATCACAAAGAACAAACATCTATCATACGATCCCGACTGGTGGGCCGGCATTTGGCCGTAGACCCACCGCTACTGGAAGGTAACTCACCTCGTAGTAGCTGCTGATCTGTGCGGGAACTCTCTATCTGCTGCTGCTGGCTTCTCCAATCCTCCGGCTATAAATCCTACAAAATACAATCAGAGTCTGATATCTACTCTTTGGGTAAAATGACCATTTTACCCTTGATCAAGTCAAGTCAAA